GCACCTTACACTTTTTTTTTTTTTTTTGCACATTCATCTGCTTTTATGGTAAAATCTAACCAAATTAAGCAGGTTTTTCTGGTATGACAAACGATTTTGGTACTGTTTTGAGAACCATTTATTTAAAGCATGTTCACTTATGCAGGTGTTTTTTTTAATCCAGCGGCAGCCCATTTTTGCAATTCTTCTAACGTTTATTATCTTTGCTGCTGTCTCTGGTTGTTTGCTGCTTTTCCTTGATATCTGACAGGAGCGCCTGAGGCGTTTGCTCTCGTCTGGTCTTCACCTCACTATCTAGACTATTACGCTGAAGTTTTTAAAAAGGCTGTCATTGCTGCTTTTGTCCCTGTAGCCTATCTCTGGATGTGTTATATATTTTGGCCTAATGCTGAATGACACGGGCTGGCAAACAGAAGCGTTTGTTGAGGAGTGTTCTAGTGCCATGCGAGTCTCTGTTACATAAGGTCCATTTGGGGTTTCAGGTTTGCTGTGTGTGTGTGTGTGTGTGTGTTTGGTCCTCTCTGGTAAATCTTCGTCGTGCTGTTCAGTCATCTCCTGAGTGATATAATGACCTTGCAATTTTACATCCGCTCCGGTCTCACTCACAAGGTCGAGCTGAATCTATCCTCTGTTCGTTTCATTTAGAACAGACAAAGGTTCACAGCAACTCTGGTCTGTAGTAGCAATGCTTTTTAAACCTGACTGGATAAAAACAAGCTTTCTTGCAGTTGCTCTGAATAGTGTTCATCCCTGTTTGGACGGGATTAGTTTTATGAGGTGGTGGGGTAATGTAATAATTGCTATATTGCTATAATTATACTATACATAGTTAATTTAATTGCACATTGCATTTAATAGTAAATTCAATTGCATATTTTGTTTTATGGCTACTTATTTTGATCAGTTCATCTGCACTTCATCAGACACATCTTATTGGTCAAAATATAAATGAATTTGGAGCTTTGATTTCCAAACAGGAAAAGTCAGTAAATGCCATATATCTGCCTCAGTCCACAATTAGTCTCGAATGCACAGTGGAAAATGAAAATATGCACTTCATAACTTCTCAGAGGGGCAGTACTTGCTGTTGCATATTTACGTTTTATGAATTTTAGTATATATTGCTAAATAAAAGATTTCAAGTGAATGGATATTATTCTTTAGTGCATGACGTTTGTTACTCACATTGAAGAGAGATTATGAATTATGGTCCGTTCTGGCTAGTTTATGCAATTTATGTAACGTGTCTCCCAATAATCCTATATTTTGTCATGTTTAATATTTCCTGCATAATTATGTATTGCACAGCAGCAATAGACACAGCCATTCACCTTTAGCCATTTAGATGTTGATATTCAAAGAGGAACATCACAAGCCGTTTCAGAGTAAGCTAAAGTAAGCTAGAGCAGACGTAAAAATGCAGAAATGTAGAAGAAAAGATTACAGGAACAATTTTGTTTTGACGAAACATATTAATTAGAATTTATGAATAGAATGTATAACCCGCAGAAGTAGTTTCTTGAAGGTTATAATGGTCTGAGCAGATTCGGCGGAGGTTAAAAGCTCGTTCTACCACAGAGGAACAGAGAGAGTGAAGGGTCTGGAAAGCGACAGAGTCTAAAAACAATGTTGTGATGGTTTATCAGGCAGTGCTTGGCCATAGAGCACGAGAAAGCACATAGACTACTAGGACAGGGTTGAGGTAAGAGCAACATAGGCTCATTGGAAATACATGCATCTAAATACATTTCTGCAAAACTGAATCGCTGCACTTTCCAGTTGAAATAAACAATAGAGGCGGTAAAACTCTGACAACTTTTATTCCTTTTCACACAAAGTATGATTTGCAGGTCCACAGTTTCGATTACTAAACCTTAATTTTCGCACAATTACTTGAGGAATATTATGTTATGAATCCAAAACAATTTTCAACATGTGAAAACAGATACTTTTGAAAGTTAGCATCACGTAACCAGCTTCATATGTATGGGTTTTTATATTCAGTAGGTTTGTTCGGAGTTCGACTTGAGAAGTGAAGAGCTCGGGTACGAATCCCGTGAAACTACGGACAAAACAGCACAAACCTGCACAAAACAGTTCAAACCTGCATATAAGGAAGTTCAAAAGGCACGTTTGAGCCAACAAATCCGTTTTTATACCAGTTTAGCATTTGTTAACACTATTGGGTAGGTTTAGGGTTGGGATTGGTGTTGGGGATATTTCCAACGATAGAGCATTAACTTTTACAGACATTCCTTGGATATTTGAATTATGAACCACCACAATACATACCTAAAGCAACGTAATAAAAACACAGCAATATGTGGCTATATCAACATAACAAAAACGTGCCAGGGTAACGTATTGAACCCATGTTTTAGCGCCACTCACTGGACGTTTCACTTTGAAACTGCCTCGAAATATGCAGTAAGGTACGTAATAGCGGTGTTGCAGAAATGTATTTAGAGGCAGATATTTCCAGTGAGTCTGGGTTGGGTAAGAGGGTCCTGACGTCAAAGCCTTGAATTTGATGTGTTCGGCCACAGGTCACATGTTTAATACATCGGCCACATTTCTGTGAATTGACTATAAACTACAGACGTCTGCAGTAACATGATTTACAGACTTGTGTCCTGAAAACTAAACCCATCTGCACATGGCTTTTACCTGATGTGTGTTTTGCTAAGATAGGAATATGTCAGTTTAGAATATCTTTAGGTTTAAGGTTAAAGTTGCTTTGATGGCAAACGCATCAAAGGATTATTAAAAAAATAAATGAAATAAAATAAAAGTTGTGGACCAACAGCTGCTGAGTGGCCAAGCAATCTGCCCTCTGCAGTTTCTCTCACATACTGAGACAGTCACAGGTACACACACACACACAC